AGTTCTCATGTTCTGTACGGGCAGCTCCACTGGATTAGTCAATCCCATTCCTCCTAGTCTCGGTGGTAGTGCAAGGAGTGACCTTTCTGCTGGGGTTAAGTGAGGGTTTTTCAATAGTGTTGGGATGAAAGCGACATTGATGGCTTCTTCCAGAGGGCGGAGGAGGGGTCCGACATCAGTGATAGTGCGCATCAGGTAGTTCCAGCGATGCTCGACTCCATGAGTGAATGCCGCAAGAGCCGCATGTGGCTCTGTTTTAGCAATATCAGACAGAGCTTGGATTTCCTTAACTCACTCATTCACCTTTCCCATTATGTACTCGGTCTTGAAGTCTTTCTTGCCAATTTCTATGCCTAGGTGTCTTTGGCCATCCTTTGTTATTTTGACCTCACTTCCACTGAACACCTCCATTACCCATTCATAGTGTTCTGGCTTCATAATGAGGAAGGACTTGCTGGCGTTTGGGTGGTACCCTATTTGTGGACCTCGTGATGTTACCAGGTCCCACCACTTTTTGATGTCGTCCACTTGTCCTGCTCCTGTTAGGTTGTTTCATATTTTATTGTATGTTGGAGCACAGACAGGCCTAGTGCGCACATTGCCATGGCGACAGGGTTCCCCTGCGTTGTTCCCTCAGTTGACTGTGCTATATGGTGGTATCTCCTCTTAGGGCCTTGAAGCTTGTTATAAAGAGGTCTGATGGGTTCCTATAGGTGTTTTCAACATACATTGCAAAGCTTGGACACTTGATCTTGATGTTGTACTACTACTGCTACTAATAATAATGATACAGTAACAATAATAATAATAATAATTATTATTATTATTATTGTTATTATTATTATTAATATTATTATTATTAATAATATTAATATTAATATTAATATTAATATTAATATTAATAATAATAATATTATTATTATTATTGTTATTATTATTATTATTATTATTATTATTATTATTATTATTATTATTATTATTATTATTATTTTTATCTTTATTTTTATTTTTATTATTATTATTTATTTATGTTTATTACTGCAAGATCCAGGAACCAAGCAAAGTCAGAGTGTAGAAAGTGTGAAAAGGAGTTCCAGAGGCTGGTTGTAAGCAAGGTCAATTCAAACCCGAAGGCATTTTACCGTTATGCAAAGTTGAAATAAAAATCTCGAGTAGGAGTATCAGACCTGAGGCTTGAAGATAGTTACGCAGATTCTGACCAGGATTAAGCTGAGGCATTGAACAGTTTCTTTTCCTCAGTGTTCACAAGAGAGGATGCAAACAATCTTCCTGCATTTGAGGACAGACTGTTCGACACAGCACTGACCCACATTGTGTTCACAGAAGAGGTTATAAGAAATACTGTCAAAGCTAAAGGTTCATAAGAGTCCCGACCCTGACATGATGCATCCCAGAGAGCTAAGAGAGTTGTGCAACTAGCTTGCTGAGCCCCTGAAGATCCTGTTCTGTAAATGACTGGATGAACATAAGATTGGCAGTGATTGGAAAATGGCTTATGTGAGTCCTACTTTCAAGAAGGGCGATAGTCATTCCACGAACAATATGTAAAGTATTTGAGAGAATTATAAGAGATGCCGTGATGGAACATCTACTACGAAACAACCTTGTAAAGGATTGCCAACACGGTTTTATGCCGGGGCGCTCCTGCTTAACACAATTACTCAAGGTACTGGATGTTTGGACCCCAATTCTGGAGCAGGGCGGTAATATCAACAATATATACCTCGACCTTGCCAAGACTTTCGACAACGTACCGTATGAAAGGCTGAAAATTAAACTGGAAGGGTATGGGATTTAGGGAAATGTCCTAGCGTGGATTGGAGACTCTCTCCATGACCGCAAGCAGTGTGTGGTGATTAATGACTCAAAATTATCGTGTGTACCTGTCACAAGAAGAGTACCACAAGGCTCGTTGTTTGTTTGCTTCATAAATGACGTGCCTGTAGCTGTACACTCCTCCATGCATTTGTTTGTGGATGATGCCAAGTTATTTAGGGACATTAAAAACCAAGCAGACTGTGAAGAGCTGCAGAAGGATCTCTGTGAACTTCAGAATGGTCGAGGAAATGGCTGCCAAGATTCAATGTCACGAAGTGTAAGAAGCTGCACCTGGGACGTACCAATGGTAAGGAGGCTGCATTAATTGAGACTGAATGTGAAAAGGACCTAAGTGTGTATGATGACAATGAACTGAAGTTCTTGGGCCATTGTGAGAAGAAGGTGAATCGGGCAACTAAATTATTAGGTCTTATAAGAAGGTCGTTCAGATATCTAGATGGTCCGTCCCTCGTAACGATCTTCAAGAGTGAGGTGCTTCCCCGTTTGGTCCCCTAGATATGCCAGGGACTTTCAGTTGATTGAAAATGTCCAAAGGAGGGCCACCAGACTGGTGACAGCACTTCGGCACCTCAGCTACCCTGAGAGATTAGAGTGCCTACAGTTGCCTAGCTTATACTACAGACAGGCAAGGGGCGATCTAATTGAGGTGTATAAACATCTTAAAGGGCACTACTCAGTCGAGTGTCCTTACCTGGAGCTGGCGGACGCTCACCCCACAAGGGGTCACAGCTCAAGATTGAAGAAGTCACAAGTCCAGAAAACTGTGAAGACAAAATTTTCGGAGTGAGAGTTGTGAACTCTTGGAACAATCTGCCAGAGTGTTGTGAGGGCACCGAGTGTGAGCTCTTTCAAGACCAGACTTGACCAACACTGGAGCAGCTTCAGGTACATTTAGGAGCTGGTGGATGCCCAGTACTTGCCAACAGTGCGTAACAGAGCCGTGACCGATTGCCCAAGCGGCTAATGAGCTGATCAGAGGTGAAGAGGATATTAGTAAAAAGTACTACTACTACTACTGCTACAGTACTACCACATTAATAATAATAATTGGTGCTACTATAGTCTACTCTAAATTTAAGTCAGGTTAGATTAGGTTAGACTAAAGATGCCTTTGTAGACGGCACGCTATAGTAGACATTGCAGACCTACTGTGTACGGGGTTTTTGTTTATGCGTTTGGTCATTTACGTGGTGCCTTGCCAGAATGAAAATGTTTTAATTACGCGGTAAATTTGGTCATTTACGCGGCCAGCGGCTGGAGAGGTGCAGACTGCCGCGCCATTTTTTACCCACGCGGTTCATTCTTGACCATACGCGGGAAGCGGCGCGGTGAGTGGTGCGCATTAGGCCGCTCTTACGTTATCGCTGACGTCATATGACGTATCGGACTGTGATTGGGCCACGCATCCTTACCACCCACGCATTCCCTTCACCGCTAGCTGTGATTGGTCTAATGTAACATGACGTGCCCTGTCACCAGAGGGTAGAGGTCGCTGACCTAGCCGGGCCTGTCTCATTGTTCCCGGTCCACGTACAGGTATACAGTTCTCTCTTGTGCCCGCTATTCCCCTCACAATGGCTTCCGCAGGACCCCTACCACCCGAGAAAAACCTTGAATTACCTGGACCAAGCCATAAGAACATAAGAAAATAAGGAGTCCTGCAATAGGCCGGTTGGCCTGTGCATGGCAGCTCCTGTCGAGAGTTACTACCACTCTCTATCATCCATGAATCTATCCAGCCTCCCTTTGAAACTTTCCAGCGTTCTAGCACTTACTACAAAGTTGCTAAGCTTGTTCCACTCATCCACCACCCTATTTGTAAACGAGTTCCTTCCTATCTCCCTCCTAAACCTAAACTTATCCAACTTGAATCCATAAACTTATCCAACTTGAATCCATGATAATGTGAAGGAAATCATCGAGTTGGGGGAGAAAATTAAGCTCATCCTTGACAACGACCCAGACAAGCGTCAGTATGAAGTGTCTAATAACCATCTGACGAAATTTATGGAGCCGTATATCCAGATCTATCTCGACAGCATCAATGTTAGTCATCAACGTAGTATTGAGGACTTCTTCGCCCGCAACCCACCACAACCACAGCCAGCCCAAGTCAGTGATAGTGATATTGACAGTGAGGATAGGGACTTTGAGAGGTTTGTCTGGGAGGCCCTGCAAACCCCTGAGAGTAGTGAAAGTGATTCACCGGAGGGCAACTAATCTGCCCTCTGCCTCGGAACCAGCCGCCATCCACGTGTGCCGACCCAGCTTTTCTACTAACGTAAGTGTTAAAAAACCTAATATTATTTATATTTCTCTTAATTACTAATTGTGTGTGCATACCATCAAAAAATTAAGATGTTATTTTGACTACAACATACGTATTGTGTCTGAAAATGTAGAGTTTGGGGGTCGGCCCAGTCTCTATTTCAATCACATATGTTCTGTTATTTCATTTACGCGTTTCTTCTTTTACGCGGACCTCCACGGGTTCAATTGACCGCGTAAATGAAGACTCAACTGTACTTCTCCAACGCCAGGGCACGATGGATGTGAGAATGATCAGTATGGGACGAGTCATCTCGGAATGGTTTCAGATTCTTCTTTTATTTTTCAGATTTTATTGTGACTGTTTATAGTGTTGGGGAAGTTTTTGGTGAGAGTGTAGCTAGACAGTTCAGGTACAGGTATACAGCAATGGTAAACAGTTAGACAATTTAACGAAAGATAGACAATAAAAATATTATAGACTTATTTCTAGTTGGGTCCTTTGACATTGTGACAGTTACAGTACTGGAGTGTAGGTGTTTTCATCCATTTAAATTATTAGGAATTTGTTTTTATATATACAACAGTTACAATTATGAGTGTTTGTATAGATTGGTTTAAATTAAGGTGTTACAGTTTATGAAAGATAAATTTAATTTGTTTAGATATTTTAATGAAAATTGGTTAAAATTTCAGACATTTATATGGGTTAATGTGAACACTGAATCTGTATTACCTGTATATTAGCTTGGTTGTTTGTATACATAGCAGGTGCATAGTAGCTGCTGTGTGTTGCTTTGTACAGACACTGAGTAGTATATGATCTGTGACTCTGTTTAAATTAATTATCTCGGTTATTTTTGTCCTGACAGACCTGCCTTCTGCCTCGGCATCAGACGGCCTCATCAAACGACTTCTGGCGCTTCATTTCATACTTATCGTCTTTGTGCACCTCCTGCGGTAGAGGCCCTCCTACAGTAGAGGCCCTCCTACAGTAGAGGCCCTCCTACAGTAGAGGCCCTCCTACAGTAGAGGCCCTCCTACAGTAGAGGACCTCCTACAGTAGAGGCCCTCCTACAGTAGAGGCCCTCCTGTGGTGGACGCCCTCCTGTGGTGGACGCCCTCCTACAGTACGGGCCCTCCTGCGGTAGAGGCCCTCCTACAGTTGAGGCCCTCCTGTGGTGCACGCCCTCCTACAGTAGGGGCCCTCCTGCGGTAGAGGCCCTCCTACTGTAGACGCCCTCCTGTGGTGGTGGCCCTCTTGTGGCTAAATTAGACGTTGTGGACAAGTTAGTGATGGAAGGTTTAAGTAACTAAGATATACATGAGAAAAAAGTTTTATTTGTGATAAATGAAATTTGTGAACAATTATGAAGTATTTTACAAAGTTACTTTTGTTACAATGGTAGTATTTATTTTATTCCATAAGCATCCTCATATTTCTTGAAATTAAGAGGAAAGGAAATTACTGGTTCAGTGTCTGCCATTGTTTTATTTAGGAAATACAGAACTGATTTGCTTTCTTTTAATTGGTAATAAGTCTTAAAATGACCGAGTGAATGGGACAATGGAAGTTAAAGATATTAGACTAAGTGTTTAACATTTTACTATGATACAAAATATCTTCACTGTAAGAAGTGTATATATTTCCATTACTTTTAAGTGAGTAATAAGTCTGATAATATTTTCAAGGAAACTTCATAATGTTGGTTTTAAACCAAAGGCCACAAGAAGTCTTTTTCTTTGCCAAATGGAAAAATTTGTGTCTATTATTTGTGAAATTATCTATAATTTGTGATAAGTTCTATGTGATTATTTTAACACACTGCTCAGCATTTCATTGCTGCATGTGGACCAATTCTCTACATACATAATTTCTCTTAATAGAGATGAAGCCATGTATCACACAATGTGTTCTGTATAGATAACCCCACAGATACTTGCTACACAGTTAACTATGATTGTGGCTTATTTGAGATTATATTTTTCTCTAATGATATATGTATATTTGGTTGGATTATGAAGGACTGTAGTTGATCTCTTTCTTTTGTATCAAGTCTGGGTAATATGTCCAGAGTAGCAATAAATATTCCTTTTTTTAATTTACGTTTTCTGGTGTAATTAATGTTTGAGTCCAGTTTAATATCAGGACGGTAAAGTTTTTAATTTTTTTTTTGGTTCATTTGGTTGTGAGACGATCTTGAAGTGAACACACACATAATATACTGAAGACTTCATCATGGACAGGAAGCAAAGGTCTTATTCTGTTGCTGTACTGTACTGTCATGATAAAAATTCACTTTTATAGTTAAGTAACACTACAGATAAATAAAAATACACTGTACTGTAGTTTGGGGTTGACAGCCTTCATTGATCAATGGAAGTATTAGTTGTCACTCTGGTTGATAATTTACTTGGCTTATGGGCACAAGTATTATTTTAAAGTTCAATCTCATTTTTCAGCAGATTTCTAAACTGCAAAACATCCAAGTTCCCATAAAAGTGTCTGAATGTTATCTCAGTTAGTCAGGAAAATATACAAGGCCTCATATAAATTTCATAAACAACTTTGGGTATTCTCATAATTTTGAGACTAGAGCATTTTTCTTTTTCATTTTATATTTAAATTAATAATTATGATTTTCAAACTGTCGATACATATTTTTAGAATCAATTTATTACCCCCATTACTCTTAAATATAATAAGTTATTGGGTTTTGCATAAACAATTATGATTTGTTCTAAATTAGCATAAAGCTACATGTGTGTAGAGTTGTGGCTGCTGCTGTGCTTCCCTGTAATGCCAAACTGGGGTGTTACCAAGTCTGTCCCATGTAAATATTGTAGCTGATCCACCTAACATAACTTTACCTATGGATATTTTTATGAATTGTGCAGCACTAATATTCAATCTGCACTTCAGTCACAAGTTTTGCCATGATAAATCACGTTTATGAAAGAAATCACCATCTTTGAGTCTATTCAATTTTATTCAGCGCTTTATCTGAGAAATAATTAATAATTCATAATTTAAATAGTGTTTCAGTCTGTGATCCCATAGTTTAAATACCCTGATTAATTATCTTAACAACTTCTTTCATATATCAGAGGATTAATTACTATTAAGAGGTTCATGCATATTAAAGTGTTTCAGTGCTGCACATTATCTCAATACTGTAGCTTTTCAGAACAGATTACTGCTGAACAAGGCCTCACATGGCCAGTCAGGAAATGTGATGTGTTATCTTACTGGTGCTGTTCACCAATAGGCAGGTCCTAAGCAATTATCAGAGAGAGATAGTGGCTTAGGACCTACTGTACGCAACTGTGTCCAGAAACACCACTGCTGTACTAGTTCTTCATTATAAAATGCCATGTGGTTTGACCATCGGAGTGTACGTATATGAGTTTGTGCAGCGGCCACTGTCGGATGTTCCTCTTCTCGCACGTATGCCCTATAGAAGGCTATTGATGCAATATATGAAGGGTTAGACCTTAGATCTGGTCTCTAGTTAAAGATACCTCTGTATACTGTACAGTATTGTATTCATATGTATCCCATACATTATGCATCACAATGATAGATAGCCTTTAAACTTGTGTTGAAATGTGTTAATTGTTAATTTTCATTAACTCTTGGCCAGTTGGCTACTGCAGAATACTGTTAAAACATTTGGCTGTGTCAAGTACTGCAGATGGAATAACTACAGTATTGTTTTACTAAGAGATGTATGTGCAAAAATTAAGGTTTTCTCAAAGCATTTATAGTGGAGCAGAAACAGAAGTTGGGACATTACCATTTGTGTAGTGAATGAAATTATCAGGAATTGTTGTAATTTTCTTGGTTAAAAGTTTTAATTTAAGTTATTATCAGACAAGTTATACTGTATTGTAGAGAAGAAAACAATACAATAGTTCCGTACTTTATGTGGCAAGACAACATAAACACTCCCGTGGTTAATAACAAAAATAAATGCTTGTACATGTAAATAGTTTTTTTTGTACTGTACACTTGACATAGCTCCCTTGAGATTAATTGTAGTTGAAAGGTTTGATTCACTCAGTAGCTAATTAAGTGGCATATAGCTGTACTCTATATATATATATATATATATATATATATATATATATATATATATATATATATATATATATATATATATATATATATATATATATATATATATATATATATATATATATATATATATATATATATATATATATATATATATATATATATATATGCACTCCTGTGTATGTGTGCATGCATGCATGTGTGTTTGTGTGCTTGTTTGTGTACAGTATATGCACACATTCTTGTGTGTGTGTGTGTATGTGTGTGTGTGTGTGTGCATGCCTGTGCACACATGCATCCTTGTTTGTGTTTAAATGTTAGGAGTGACTAAATTTCTTGCCCTATTTCATGTTTTCTTACAAAGTACAGTACCTGTACTTTACAAATACAGTATATGTGTTATTCTGCTGAAGTCTATGTGGAGCCAACATGTAGCCTGACACATGGAAGAACTTGAACCAGCCGTCAGACATCTAACTACAGTTTGGCTGCTTTATATATATAATATATATATATATATATATATATATATATATATATATATATATATATTTTGTTTTTTCTTTTTTCTTTTTACCAATTTTGTCCTTATTTGAAAAACATTTATTATTTCCACAAACTTGAAAACTATTATTTTTTTTCCTCATACAGCCTGTTTGTCACTTTGGTTATACAGTGACCAGAGGTTGCCTAGTGATTTAAACCTTCACCTCGTAAACCAAAGAGATTAATTTTAATATGATAGGCTTTTAAGTTACTAATTTGTACTGTGTATTTGCTGTAGTCCATACCTATGGGCATTGGGATGATGTATCAGTCAGCTAGTCAGTCAATAAACTCAGACTATACCTGGTGTGCTCTCCTTCCTCCCTATGTGTTATGGCATCTTATGAAGAGTTAACATATCTAAGGTTCATTTCAGTAGCTCTTTCATCAGGCAGCTCGGGTATTCCCTATGTGATTTTATCCAAATATCTGTACCACCGTTCATGTACAACAACTCCTCACTATTGACTTCCTGTCATCTTCAATTTATTCTCTTCCTAATTCCTATTCTATTGGGTATAATTTCACTATTGGATGAGTGGTATACCCTATTGGTTGAGTGGTGTACCCTGTTGGATGAGTGGTGTACCCTTTTGGATGAGTGGTGTACCCTATTGGATGAGTGGTGTACCATGTTGGATGAGTGGTGTACCATGTTGGATGAGTGGCATACCCTATTGGATGAGTGGTGTACCATGTTGGATGAGTGGTGTACCCTGATCTGATCTTTTAACTAACCACTTAACAGGTGCATCTGCCCCTGTACTGTAATTCAACAATCTGTTCCAAGTGCTAATGTAGTCAGGGTGTCTTATCAGAGGTAAGAGCAACACTGCTACTGGTATGTTTCTCTTAAGGCCTAATAAATATTCATTTGTTCACGCTTTCCATATTACAGTTGAAACAGTGGAATGACTATGGAATATTGTAGGACAGGAAAGTTCATCTTCTGTAACAATTTTTGGTGGGGGAGTTCATAATGTACGACCTCTCAGTAGGTGTAAACGTGTAGTAACTCCAGCAACATAGGCATCGGTCTATCATTAACTGATGCTTCAATTTCAAGTAGAAGTGTAGTCAATTCTTCCAGGGTGAAAGAGTTCTACCAAGAACTTTCTTTAATCCTAATTTAATGATCTCAGTGGCACATGCCAGATAGCTCCAGATTTAGGACCACCTGTTGGTATAAAACTCCCTTTATCACTTATAAGTAACTGGAAATCCCCGTATGCTTTGTAAACATCAAAGGGCTGTAGAAATGCATCTACAGGTACAGTTAAATTATGTACTATTTCTAAGTGGATCACTCTACTCACTGCACAAGTAAAGACCACGAGGTAGACCTTTATAGTAATAGCATTAATATCGTCCACGCCAGCAACTTGGAAAGGATCCACCAGTTGTACCCTAAACTTAGGCAGAAGAAAATCTTTAACCTATTGGTAGCTCCTTCCTTGTATCTCTGTACATATTATAAACCTCCCTGAAGTACTGTACCCCACTGAGTAGAGTATATGGAAGCAATATGGGATATTTAGTAGACTCATAAATACTGTGACAGCTCACAGATCACTGGGACACAAGTGGGAACTCCCTCTTGTATATAACCTCGTGTACAGTACTTGACCTGAGGAGTCAGAAAAGCTACAACTCTCCAGTTCTTGGTCCATCTCTCTGGGTCAAGGTTTGGTCAGTAAAATTGGTCACATATCTGTCACATGCATTGCACTTTACTGTGCAGCATTTTCACTGTGATTCAGTGTGTTTTTTATTGTACTAGTGTGAATTTCACTTTTTTTTTATTCTACAGTTCTTACATAGTGGATGTCTGTTACTGTAGTAAAATTCAGTAATATATTCTGTGATAATTGCATTTTTAATGTTTTGTTTGATTTAATATTATGAAATTATTTATATTTACTTTGTCCCAAATTGTCATTGAATATTTCTCACAGGTTTATCAGACCAAGCACTAATTTTTGGTAACTTAGTTCACCCACTAAAATTGATTTAGTTGCTTGGTCGTCAGTTTAATTATGAATTTGTTAAGAAAATTACCTGTCATGAAGTGACTTCTTCCTAGATGGTGTTGCGTTCCATTTTTAGATGGTATCCGGATGGTGTGCTGTTCACTTACCTGAAACCTAACTTTATTGGGGGATCGTGTAATGAGTGTGAGTCGCTTGGACCAAGATGAGAATAGAAGAAGCAAGCAGCCTGTGTTTTTCTGCCATTATTCCAAGTCCATAGTTTGTCTATACTACAAATGGCGATGAGGACGGGATGAAGAGCCCGAGAGAGGGACTGCATATGAAGACAAGACGATGCCTCGGTTTGAAACCTTTAGGGTCTACCGGGAGGGAGACCAGGCATAATGGGAGGGGTGCTGTGAGCGGATGGACCAGTTTTTCATGGCTAACAAAATCTCGGACGCCGGGGAGAGGAAAGCTATATTCCTGTCATCAGTTGGTGCTCTCACTTATGGTGTGCTGTACAGTCAGTTCTGCTATAACGCGATAGTTGTGTTCTTGTAAAACATCGTGTTATAGAAATTCGCGGAATAGAAATAACAGGGCTTATGGAGAAAATAGGGTTAGGTGCAGATTACTACTCGAAATCGAAAATTTTTTAGTAGTTAGCCTAACACAAAGGTTAGCACAGTCTAAATAAATGTTACATTCATATCTAATAATGAAATCATACAGTAAATGTAACACTTTACCTTGAAGAAATATGAATATAACTTGACGGGGGAGAAGGGTAATTTTGAGGTTGATAACACCGAGCTTCTCTTCAAGTGTTATAGCCTTTCTTTTACGATCATCACCGGGAATGCGATCACCAGAACGTTTCTTGGAGATATTCTTCTTTACCATATTCACAGTTAATACCACAAAATTGGAGAAATAGTAAGCAAAAATCGCGTTACAGCAAACAAGCGTTCGCGTTATACAAATATCGTTCCTCTATTCATAAATCGCGTTAGAGCCAATTTGCTTTGTCAAAACACGCGTTATAGCAGAACTCACTGTACTACATGTCTTGTGCAGCCCAAAGACAAAACCTTTTGATACTCTGTTAGCATTATTAGCATCTCATCTTAGCCCTAAGCCTTCCACCATCCTGGCTAGGTTCAGATTCAACTCCTGCTTCCAGTCTACTGAGGAAAGTGTTTGAGAATACGTCGCCAAACTTTGGAAGTAGTCGGAGCGTTGTGACTTTGGGACAATGTTAAATGAGATGATGGAGATCGCTTGGTTTGCGGAGTGAACGATAAAAAGACCCATAGTAGATTGTTATCTACACCCAGTTTAAACCTCTCTAGGCCCAAGAAATAGCTGTGCCACTGGAGACTGCTGAGAAGGACACCTTGGAGTTGCAGTGGACTGTTTCATCCTTACCCAGCCCTACTTCAGAGCCAGGAGTACACAAGTTGGGTCAGAGCAGAGCCATGGTTATGGGGCCGCCTACGTCATGATCGTGGACGATGGAGAAGTTAAGGTGTTTGAGCTAGCGTCACCTCAGCAAGGTATGCCCATATACTGCTGTATCCTTTGGTCACATAATTTTACTTTTTACTTTCTGGCCAATCTTTAATTAATCTATTCCTTAAAATATGAATGCTGCCACCAGACCCCAGGACAGTATATGTGGTGTAGAACAAGAATTTGGCTTCTCTCCTTTGGCAGCTGGCAAAAAATCTGGCACTGTATGTTTGAGTTTTTCATTAATCAAAGTTTAGGATGGAAGGAAGGGTGAAACTTCACTCATCATTCTTTAGTAATTTACAGTATTCATAAAAAATTTCTTAATTTTGATATATTAATACTACACTCAGTTACAATACAAAAATAGTTTACCTTCCCAAACAATTAAGGTTACTTTCCCACCATCCAAAGTAACTAACCTTATCAATCCTAAGATCCCTTCTTCACCATACAAAATAACTTACTTCCTCAACTTAGATCACTTCTTCCCAATATCACCAAATACTCAATAGCACCTGAATAAAGGAACATTCAATAATACATACAGGTAGTGCAACTTACTCTCAGCACCAAGGTACACACAGCAGGTACCCTTCTCACCTACTCTTGCAAGGTTGGTAAGTTACTTCACCGAAAATCATACCAGGGGGAGGTGGGGGGGGGGTGGAGGTTACACCACTAATGATTGGTCTCAAGCTGGTCAAGTTGCCAGCAGTTGGTCACAATGATCTAAAAAATTCAAATTGATGATCAAGAAAGGACATTCACAGGTAGCAAGAGGTAACACAGTGGATTGTGTCTTGAATGGTTATGGTGATGCCATGTGAACGTCAATTAGTGAACTATGAAAAGGTGTTTCAGAAAATAGAATTGACGCACATACCATTAGGTTTCAAACC